ATATATATATATATATATATATATATATATATATATATATATAAACAAGTACTGAGTTATACAAATTCTCTAGATAAACTGCAACAAGTGCTAAAGATGATTGAAAAATCGAAATAGCTCCTATACACTCGAGAACGAATTGGAACTGTATATTATTTTAACGTTAATAAAATAAATAATGACAAGAATTTGGTTCGAAATATTGAGAAATGTAATAAAAAACTATACAACGCTAGAAATTCTGCAGATTTCATAAATTACTACATCAATTATGGTCTTTTACCGGCATATATGCATATATATATTGAAAGAAGACCATATTTTATACAGTATTGTATGAATTAAACAATTAAAGGTTTGTCTTCGATTTTCAAACTTCAAAACTTTAAAACGATTAATGCCAACAATTCGGTAGAATTCATACAATACTATATATATATATATATATATATATATAATATATATATATATATATATACATACACATTGATATATAAACACACATTCAAACACACAGTGCTTATGCCGGATTATTATTTAAAAAAAGTTGATGTCACATTGACACAAAACAAATAAACATCTATTAAGCGACCAGTACCACACAAAACACTGCAAAATCAAAAACAATACATATGAACGACAATACATTTCGGCAGCATTTGCCATTGACGACAGATTTCTTAAAAATAATGTTCGGTTGAAAGTGTTTGATTGAAGCACTTGGAGATGATTTTCATGGCGTGTCAGTGTCTTTATTCTTTATTGACTCCTCTGACTCTTTCAATGTTCTCTTTATTTTCGGCACAACATCCTCCCACGCAGCAAGGTTCTGCTCGTATAAAATATTTCATATCATTAATATTTGCTACTGCTTAATTTAAACCCATAAAGCTATCAACTTATGTAATTTCTGTTACAGATTTCACCATTAATATCATAGAGAAATAATAAACCATTTTCAAATACATATATACATATTAATCCGCTCGCGCTTTATAAACTAATGATTGATTGAATCCAGACAGGACATCTAAATGTCCAACCAAAATTAAAACATCCATTATAATTAAAAAGTGAAAAAATATATCAAATGAAATATGAGCATTAGAACAGGGTATCTGAAAAATAAATGAAATCGCATGCTTTCTTTCTGAATAAATAAACGGTAGTTTAATGAACTAACCAATTGATAATATTTGATCTGCCTCTCGGCCATGCTTCCAAATATTTGTTTGAAATCAATCTTCTTGTTCGCATGCCACCTCTCCAGATCGGAGCTGATGTCTGCGTTGGCACAACTCAGCCGATCATTCAGGACATCAACTTTCTTGCTAAGCTGCTAATGTGCACAACATGTTGTTCGTCATCACCACGTTTTGTTTAGCAAATATATCTTGCATGAAGTTAGAAAAGCAACTGCTAATTAGCGTCATAAACTGTTTCAATATTCATCTCATACGATTAATATTAATTATATTCGCAAGATGTATGTGAGTGTGCGACTTGAAAGAACTGAAAACAGTTCTTACCATTTTGACTTCTTCAGACATCTGCAATTGAAAGTTAATGAACAGATTAGTTGATGATAGCATACGAATAAATTATAGAAATAAGAAAAAACGTAAAATTTAAAAAACATTTAAGAAGCGACCTTGCTTTTATCTTCCTGTTTCTTCCTGGCCTCTTCGACGGCACTTTCATATTCGAGCTGCAGAGCATCCCTCCTCCTTAAGACTGCCTGGCAAAAACAATGCATCAACATTCCAACATTCGAACTAGCACAAATACGAAAGAGCCATTATCATTTATCGTCATCTTTGTAACTCGTTGAAAAGTCGGTGTCTGCTCGTTTGCTGTCAGTTAACTTTCCATACTCTCAAGGAATGTGAAACTGACCACCACATTAATGTAATGTTCAGAAAATTAAATAAAACCTAAATAAGACCAGCTGTAAAATGAAAAAAATCACATTGAATAACATTGTTACTCGACTTCACTAATGACAAAAATTGACTTTCGACGATTGTATTTCAGACATCATCACTTTAGTGGTCAATCTATTGAATAGCTCAGGAGACTTACCTGTCACTCCATCAGTGGCATCCATCCTTCGATAGTTAAACAATACACTAACAAGATCAACACCAAACTAATGAAACAGCTATTTTAGCCATAGAATATTATATAGGAAAAAAATAACGAATGTTTTCCTAATATTAATTATAATTTTTTATAAATTCAATAATAAAAATATATAAATAAAAATTACCATTAAAAAAATAGCTAACTTTTATAACGTCGATGTAGAGCAAGTATTCATGTATTGGATTTAAAAACGTGGTTTCCGTTGTATCAACCTGTTTTATTATAACAGATTTTTACCAATTAATACACAATTTTTCACGCCGTACTCATGACTTTATTAATCAAACATTCAAGTCGAAATTATTTTAAATTCCAATAGGCAGAGTAAAAAATAGAGTTGTGCTAACAAGTTCATGCAGTCCAAGATAGGACCTCTCTATAGAGTGAGCCACTCCAATCAATGCTGGTGCAAGTTTATCTTCTGAGTTGGACCATAATGTGAAAACAGGACCCAACTCATTCATTTCCACCAACATGTCTGAAATTCCAAAGGTCCAAAATTATAAAGTTCCGTAGATAATAATGAACTTGTATAACAGAAATCAAATTTAATCATTTCAACCAACCATTTTGTTCTTTTAAAATTTTGTTGGCAATTTTCTCAATGCTGTGCAGTTTTTCTGAAGTTTGTTCAAATAAGTGAGCACATCAGTAAACTCTTTAGGCCTGTTCTTGATGACGAACGACGACCCAAGATTCTGTATAGATCCGGCCAATCTGGACATTATGGTGGAAGAATCTTTCGATTTCATGGATACAAATTCCTTGTTTTAGGGAAAATCGTTTTCCAAAATTATTAATAACCATCTATTAATATTAAGTCATTTTCAACATCACTTATAGCCCACTCGATTTTGATAAACAGAAAAAATGAACTAAGGTAAGCCACATGAATGTTTGACCTTCAAAAACTCTTAACAATCTACTACAATATATCCAGTTTGAAGTTGACTGAATTTCCAATCAGTCACGCCCAACAATTCATTCCTTTTCATTTAAATTCATCTTTTTCTCATTACATGTCTCTGCAACACTCCAAAAATACCCAATTTACTAATATAAGATAACATAACTTAATTAAACTTTAAAAAAATCTTTGTCAACGTTTTGTTATTTTATTTTGAATTGCACAACATATACAGATGTGGCCGATATCAGTAAGTTTTCCTTTTTAAAAAAAATGTAGCAACAATTATTCAGCTGCAAGAAAATGCAGTGGTTAAAAATGCCTAGCCATGCATGCATTGCCCAGACTCAAATGCAAAAAATTCCACGCCTATGATAAACAATTGTGTGATGACCTATTTCAGAACATGCATTCAGTCATAATGTGCGATGTGTGTGTGTGTGTGCGTGCATGTGTGTCTGTAACAACTCTGATGAGTAACAGCACATAAGAGGAATTATCACATTGCATCGTTTGTTGTTTCATCTCATTCATTTTACTCTTTCCAGGCAAGTTTCAATTATTAACGTGTATTCATGTTTAATTCTAATAGTGAAAAGGATCATCTACCAGATTATACATTGAAATTATTCCAACTAATTCATACATTTCAATCTACATATACAGGCTTAATGGTATATGTATGAATGACAATCCAACTCAACTGATTACACTAATTTATATGTTGATTCATCAAGCACCCATTCAAGCAACCAACCCATTGTTTGTTGGTGAGGAATGACTGAAGAGATTGGTTGAAAGACAGAACTGGATGCTTGGTGAGTCTCTGCAGGAAAGTGTTCAGCGACAACATTCGAATATTCACAAAGTCCTGACTGAATCGATCAAGTCGACGAAAACTATGCTTCTCTGGTAGTGGCTACAAGCAGAACATGCAAATGTGTAGTATGTGTTAATGTGTGTGTGTGTGTGTGCGTTGGCGTGCGTGTGTGAAAAATTTATATTGTCAAACTGATAAATATATACTTTGTAGTGAAGAATTAAATAATTAGAATTCAACCGTTTAATTTACACCTAAAGATGTATGATGACAATAATCAAAACGTCAGATTTCCATCAATAACATGACTCACTCTTCTAATTAATAATAATTATTATTCTAACATCATTAACAGTGTTTTTGCACAGATTTTAATGTGTGTTTGTATGTTTGAACTGTATATGCTTAATACAGTGAAAACATTCTGTGCTAAATGTTTTTCAAGACATTTCATGACAAAATACTGTGATTAACATGATGTTACATATTCTAGGACCTATTACACAAACACTAAATATTAAAATAAGAGCTTTAAAACAATTTATTTATAGAACTTTTAATATTTGTTTTATCTTTCATGAACAACATCAAACTTTGGAAGGTTCCAGCACCTGAAACTTCATTTTTTCAAGTTTTAAAAAATTTATCAAAATAGACACAAAAGTATTACAAAAATTAAGAAATAGAATGCATGGGATAAAAGTGAATGAAGGCAACGAACAGGAACAATGTGCATTGGATGATGTTCTTCGAGCTGCTGTCGCAACCACAAGAAATCATTGTATCGCCTTCTCACTTGGTAGTCTTTGTTTTCATATTCGGGTCGCGTGCACTTTCAATTAGGAAAATAACATTTACGAAAATTATGAAAACAATCAACTGCTAAGATTGAAAAAAGTTATTTGCAATAAATAAAACTTGGGATAAAAATTACTAAAATATTGAGAAAAATCAAGAAAAATTTATCAACTAAATCAATATTCATTAAAAAAACCATTAAAAGAAATTTATTAAAATCAATGCATAGAACTCACAGTTGTAGTTATTCTGTAAGTGATGAATGACTCCATGGTGCTAACATGTTTTTCAGGGTTGTCAACTGTTACTGTTAAATCATGTTTGTCACTATCGAGCAGGCTGTCACATTGGTTGTCCTTGCAAAGTGACAAATATGAAATGTCTTTGTTGATGACAGGCTTCTTAAAATTCATCAGCAAACTTCCATCAGAATCAGTGAGAATGCGTGTGGACGAAGGACTGATTTGTGAAAGATAATACTGCTGCTGGTGGTTGGTTGGTTTAATTTGGTCAGTTGGATGGTTGGTTGTTTTGTAAGATGGTCAGTAGGCCAGTTAGATGGTTGGTTGCTTTGTAAGATGTTTGGTTGTTGGTTATTTGATTAAAAATTTTTAGCACAGAAATTTACTTTTATGACAAACTTATAGATATAGCCAACTGCATTGGCTGTGCAAAACATAAAAACTATGTCATATTTATCATGTGCAGAAAAATATAAAAATATTTTTCATTTAAATTTAAGCAGATAGGGAGCATCATTAAATCTTGGCGTTAAGTTGAGTGTAACTTGTAACATTTATGATATACAGATATATCAATAAAGTTTTTCATTAATTATTATTGGTTCAGTCATACTGTAAAAAAAATTTCAAATTAACAGCCACAAAGTTTACAATCATTCAAACAATAAAAGTTTTTTGCCTGGACTATCCAGAATCAAATCAACAAAAAATATTAAAAACTATATATAAACTTTATATATAGAGAACTTTATAAAGGGAAAACCCAAACTGTCTCAACTAAATATTATAAATTATTATATATTTAAAATTTTAATTCTTTATTATAATAGTCAGCTTTTTTACCTGATGATGATCTTGGTCAGTTGACAGTTATATTAAAACTGATTAACATGTTAGAAACAACTAATTTTTTCAACTCTAATTTTTTGAATGAATGCAACAAGAAAAACTTGCGATGGTCTCTATTTTATTAAGATATTTAAGAGTACATAATAAAAGTAATTGAATATAAACAACTAACATACATCAAAATCATAGTCATCACTTTCCACATGAATGTCTGTTCTGCAGACACCAAGAGGATCATCAAATGCATTAATGACGACCTGTGCAGACGACATTGAGCATCCATCTTCGCCATCACTTGCCGGTGCCACCGCACCGTCGGCCATATTTGTATTTTTGAATCGAATTGCCTCTTTTCTTCTCTCCAGCAACCGAACACTACTAAAACAGAAAGAACAGGAACAAATATTTGAATTTCATAATGTCATTTCAATTTAAATAAACTTAACGCAATTTCCAACTAAAATAAATTTTAAATGAGGCAAAATAACAAAAATAACAATGCTAAATTTGATGATGTCGATTGCATTAACTTTTTTATTTTCTTTCTTTTCAAATATACTTTTCCTGAATGATCAACAACAATGAAAATCCGTATAGGTCGGGACGTTAGTCACTTAGGTAACAAAGTTTTATCAACAATCTAACATAACCACACCATGAACCACCCAGTATTAATTCCAAGGTTTAACCACGGATTGGCCTTGTCGCATGATCACGCACATTTTTAGGCATATTTATTACTAGATTTAAGATTTCATAAGTTTAAATTTGTTATCAGGTAAAGACCCTAACTTTACTCTAACTCAGCCTTCCCACTTTACCCAGACTTGGGACTGGCATGTACGAAGATAAGACTCATTCTTTCTAAGTGGCTTGCTTCTATTTTCAAACACAACATTCATACATGGCGGGTTTCAATAGATGTTTCTGCGTGAGAACTCTTTTTGTCAGCAAGGGCTCCGTGCTCATACAGTACTATAGTTTTGGCTGTACCAAAGTCTTGTAAAGCTTTACAATTATTGATTTATTCCTATTGACTACCGTTCTCTTTATCATACCAAGCTTTTTATATGCTTTCTTTACCGCTTCTTACCATTGTCTGGAAGGATCTCATCATTAATCCAATATACTTTTCTTCCGATGAGACTTTCAGGGGTCTTCCTCCAAGTGTTAGTAAAGTTTCATTGTTTTTAGGTCGACATATGCATGATGTTAAACTTTATCTGCCTGTATTTCGCCAATTGGTGAAGTCTCTTTAGGGTCATCTCGTGTAGTTTTGCAACGTCTCCGCCTATTGGTCTCTTAAGGGTCATCTCGTAGTTAGGGTCATTTCGTATTCTTCATTATTACCCACTACTGCACTGCACAGAGCTTGGTATCATCCGTAAATTTAACCACCTTGAAAGATTTCCCACTACTGATACCGTTGTTGGTGCTGTACGTATACATATCCATGGCTGTACGCGATGTGAGAGAAACGATGAACGCATCTCCGATTTTGCAGTTTTGTTGACATTATCATCGCTAACATACGTGTAAGCTCGTTTCTGGTTCTTGCGCTCCTTAGACATGTATAATTTGTTTTTCGTTAAAATAACTTTTTTTGCTTTAACACTTACTTTCTTAAACTGCAATGCCGCTAAAGAAAAAACAGTTAGTTTCGTCGCGAATTAGATGTTTGTTTGTGAAAAAACGCGCGATAATATTTTAATTTTGGTTTTAAAAGTTAAGATTTTCCGTTGTGTGCTGGTGCTGCTTCCCTCTCTTTCGTTTCCTCACACTCATTTGACATTTCTTTCAGCTTTGGTTAGTTAAACTAGACGACAGAGTTCTTGATTTGAAGAATAGGGACCGGATCTCATTGATTTTTTAAATTTTGAAATAGGCAAATTCTAATTTTATTAGATTAGATTAGCATTAGAGAAGACATTAGAATATCAAATATTAGATTATGATTTATTACAGTACAGTGCTTTCCTGGCCATAATAATCATAATAATATAAAATTATAAATGTAATGTTCTCCAAAGATTTAAAACTATTATTTATTATATATTAGTTTATTTATTTTATTGTTATTTATAATTATTAATTTTTTATTTAGTTAATAAATAAACAAAATAAGTCATAACTAAAAATATCTGATATTATCTCTATCTCTATGATACTGGATATCATAATAATTCATAGATCACATTCATAACTTAGTTACAATGACTAAGTAAAATGCATAAATCCATGAAAGCATAACAACTGCCTTAGAATTGTTTATTTATCAAATCTATGTTTTTTTTTTTAAGTTTTCATAACTTTTCAGATTATATATCATAGTCTCTTGTTGCTCTTTTAGTTAATTTTCTAAGTCACTGGCATTGTTATATAAATATTTAATTTTTTATTTTACTAGCCCAGAATTTTGCTTTTTTCTTCAATGAATTGTTTGATTTTGGAATCATTTCGGTGAAATACTTTTATATCTAAAGACACAAGAAAAAAAATCACAAATCACACACATGCACACATTTGAAAAAATATATGAATATTCATCATTTGTTTCAATCTTTTGAATTCGTTTTTAGCTAAATCACTGATTGAAGTAAACAAAACTACTTAGCTACAATATTATGTTAATTACAATTTTGGTAATCTGGTAGACAGATTGTACTGACTAAGAGCAAGAGGATATGTGTGAGCCTAAAATGGCAAACAGGATTTCTCTGTCTATATGATCTTATGTTATGAAATTTAATCAATTTACTAGTTTATTTTTACTGATTCACAATAAACTGTTCTAAGTTCTGCATTTTGGGTGTTGACAATATAATTTAGTTTGAATTTGTGATTGAATCTTATTTAAATAAAATGATGTGACACTGGGCATGAAGCAGTGAGAAGTTGATTTTACATTAACACTTATTTATATTTAAAAGTTTTGAAATGAATCAATTTTTAATGTTATAACTCTTCACAGAATTCAGGTAGCGATAAATTGCAACAAGTTCTCAAGTTCACTAGTCAAACAGGATATTTCAATGTTGATGGACACAAATTCAAGAGCTATGTCAAAACATCTTTGAAACCATATGGAGTTTTTCTATTGTTGTCCGTATCTATGCCAGAGAGAAAATGTTCTCACTGTGGGTTAGTAGTTGACAAGTCTATTTAAATTAATTTTTATTGATGTTGAAGAAGTGAAATGGATTGTATTGATTATAATTGATAAGTTTTCTGACATTAATTTAACATTTTAAGGGATGCCTTGGAAAGTTTTAAGCTGATTTCCAGCTCGTGGAGGTTTTCTGAGGATTTTGAAAATGATGTGTTCTTCGGTTTTGCAGATTTTGATGCTGGAGGCATGGATGTCTTTCAAAGTGTTCGTCTTTTCTGATGTTTCATATATTTTTCAAGTTTTTTAGCACCAAACTTTAATCTATTATTAGTTATTTATCATCAACTTGTTTATCCTGTTTTAAAGTTTTGAAGTTTAAGCAATATTTTAAAAAATGACCAACGAATACCAACCAGTACAAATATTACTAACACAAATACTATTAATCAACGTTGGATTTTACACCCAACCTATTATGTCAACTATTTATAATTTTTCATTGCGCCTGAAAACATTGAGTTCTATTAACGTCAAACAGAAATACATTATACTTGTTTAATGACGTAATTTTTGCCTCCAATGAATGCTTTGTAGCTGCAAATAAGGTCAGCCCCGGTCATGCTGTACTTCCCTCCTTATGAATTGAAATACCAGAGTATGATGATTGAAAAGTAAGTTTTTTATGCTTTTAAATATTAAGCTGATTGTTATCTCACTTTATTATTATCATTTTATTTAAATAATTATGTTAATATGACAGTTTTAATAACAACCAATAATGTCTTTATAATGTGCTTGGCTCTATCATTCAAGTGCTATGCAATGGTTTTCAAACTCATCTGTATGTTTTTTTTACAAATAGCATGACGTTTGTGAAGGAAGGTGTTAATTGTCAATTTAAGGACTAAGATATCTTGAATTGAGATCTGGATTAACACTTGACAATTTCAATTATCAAAAATATTAGTGATCTGAAATTTTTCAGATCACTAACATTTCAATTTTTTCTTTGAAACTGCTATCAGCTTTATTAGTTTTAATTTTAAGCAATAACATCATTGGGGATCATTAAAAGTTTGCGAATGATAATTGACTGAATAGTCATAATAAATATGCTTGTTATTCTTGTGGTTTAGTTGCATATTTAATTTTTCAAAAATAATTTCTTATGGGTGATGTAAGTATTTTTTATCTGAAGGTATGGACTGTCAGCAGAAGGATTTGCTAACTTTTTGCAGAGGGTTACATCTAGAAAGGTATTTTTTTTCAACTTCTACTAAAAAATGTTAATTCAATCAAGAGAAAAAAAATCAGTTATCAACTTGTTACTACGATAAAGAAATGTTTAAAAAATTTTCATTCTGGCAGATAATAATCAAGCACCCTCCTAACTACACTGTCCTAATGAGTGTTTGTGCATCCATAGCAGTTCTCGTGTTTCTTTTCTACATGGACGTCATCAACATCAAACTCATCAACACAGCACTGCAGATGTGGTCTGGAGCAACAATTGTCGTATGTCACACGTCCATTTTATCATGTGGCTTGTTATGCATATAAATTTTATTTGTGGTTTGTTATGCATATAAATTTTATTTTATTATTGACCATTTGCAATCATATTATAAAGTAAAATAAGTTACAATTGTTCATTAACATTTCAATGGTGCCATTAAAAGCTTGCCTAGGTAAGACAAAACAGTAACATTGTCAAAGTTCTTTAATTTAAAAATGACCTTTTAAACAAAAGTGTATATTAATTTAATTCAATCAATGTTTTCAAAATGAAGAGTCAGATAAAAATTTCTAGATGTTCATCCTGCTGATGATATCTGGTTTTATGTGGAACCACATGCGAAGACCTCCACTTGTGCACGAACAAGAAAATTCAATTGTTAGTTTTTCCAAATTTATAGTTCTATTGTTCGTTATTCCATCTTTCTAGTTCTATTGCTAGTTTTTTTAATCTTTCTAGTTAATGCACCCTTAATTGTTGGTAGCAAAGTTTTCAAAAACATTTTTGCATTTTTAAATATTATTTGTTGAGTGGCTCTATGATTTATGATTAAGTTTTTTTCTTTGGCAGATCTACATCGAACATTGGGGAGATGGACAATTGCTGGCTGAGAGTTTCATTATTTTTTTTCTTAGTGAGTAGCATTCTTTTTTTCATACCAAGTATCATTATTTTTTTATATTAAGTATCATTATTTTTTTTAGTGTCATTTTTTCCATAGTATCTATCAATATTTTTCTGATAGTATCATAATTTTTTTTCTATATTAAGTGTTATTATTTTTATATTGCTATTTTTTTAGTAAGGGTCGGTATTTTTTTCAATAGTATCATTACTTTTTTTTATCTTAGTAAGTATCTTTTATTTCTTGCCTGGTATCATGTATCATCTATTTCTTGTCTGGTATCATTTTTATTTTTATTATCGTCATTTTTTTTTAGTAAATATGGCTTGAATTCATGAGCCTCTCTCTAAACTTTATTCTTTCTGATGAAATTGTTTTCAATAATGTTTCTTAACAATTATTTTTTAAGAAAAAATTAACTATGTTTTATTATTATTTGATTATTTTTTTGTAATATTAGGGCTTGTATGTACGTATGCATTTATACATGCATGCATGCATACATACATACATACAATATACATGTTTTTGTTATTAATAATAGTTATAATTTGATAGCGTTTGTGAAAACTGCTATAACGAAAGCTATATTAAGTTTTCTCTTAATAATAATAATACATACATACATACATACATACATACATACATACATACATACATACATACATACATACATACATACATATAAAACAAAGCAAACATACAAACCAACATACAGACCTCCTAATTGGTATAGGTATTGTGCTGTTGGCTCAACCTAGGACACTGCCAATAACAGCCAGGAAGTGTTAGTTTTACATTGTTTTGTTCACCGTTCAACCTAACTTGTGAAATAATCTGTTTGATTTTTCAATTTTGGCTCAATGTTAGTGCTCTTTGATAGTATTTTTTAAATTTTATTAATTTTGAGTTTGTTCATATTGCGTGAGCTCTGTGTTGAATGCACTTTTTTTATACGTTTATTCAGGGTGTGCTTATGTAGGGATTTCAGTGGTATGCATTTTCTTTTATTTCCTCTTGGGTGTCTTCAAGAAAAAATATGAAGGCTACCCATACGGGTAAGTTATATATATATATATGTGTGTGTGTGTGTGTGTGTGTGTGTGTGTGTGTGTGTGTGTGTGTGTGTGTGTGTGTGTGTGTGTGTGTGTGTGCATGCATGCCTTCCTTAGATGAATGTAATTATGTAATTGTTATATACGTTTCTTTTTCTAACTGTCTTTCTTGTCACCTCTTCTCATTTGTTTCCTCCTATTATGTTTTACATGTGCACCAGCATATTTACCCATTCTAAATTATTTCATTAACTTATAAAATTAAAAATAATTTCACTTCTGTCAGATAAAATGTGTGTTTAAATTTTTTTCTTGAAGATGAGTGCAATCTTTATTTTTTGCATTAACGAAAACACTTTTTTCTTTAAATGTACTTTTAATGGTTTTCAATTAAATCACTTTTTATGTCTTAATTTTTTACTGGTTTTCCTGCATTCTTTATTTTTCCTATTCAACAATAATAATTCCCACCAACTCTCAGCCAATTATCCTGATTGTTCAATAATTCACATTAGGCACTGGCTTTTCAGAGGGTCTGTTAAGATGGTTTGCAGTTTTCTGGTAAATAAAATTATTCAACAGTTTGAAAATACTGTTGAATTTTATGTAAAAAAACCATCTTGATTGCACTTGTTTTGCAATTATTTTCTTCTCAACTCAGCATACTTGTTTTTAAATTGCTTTGTGCATTATAATTTTAATCTTATTCAGATTTTATTTAAAAAAAGCGTAAACGTTAATTTTAATAGTATTTCCACTTTTAAATCAATTTCTGTCATTCACTTTTAAATAACTTGCAAATTTTAATAAACATTGAAAGAATTTATTCTAAATGCATGCATTTCCAAATGCTCCCACATAACTTGAGTTCACTTTTATAAGAAAGGTCCCATTATCCTTCACAATTTATAAATATATATATATATTGCAATTAACTTTCGATTTATTAAACATTTATTGATGTATTTATTTATTTGTTTGTTTGTTTGTTTAATTATTTACTTTTTTACTTATATATTATTTCCAGATTTTTCTTCCTCCTTTAATTTGCTGCCCTTGATGCATCCAAAGTGCCACCAATGACATTCAACTATGATAATTTTTTCACTTCTCAGTGAAGTAATATAAATTTCTTTGTTGTTAATATCGATGTAAATTTTGAATATTCGTTGTTATCACAACTTGTTGTAATTTACTTCTTTTTAGCGATTATTTTATTTCTGAGTTGTATTATGTTTTAATTGGAAATTGTTGAAATTGTTCAGTGGATTCCTTATTGCTGCTGTTTTTTAGTTTCAGTTTTACTCCAATGTTATTTTTGTTATGTGTGTGTGTGTGTGTATGTGTGTGTGTGTGTGTGTGTGTATGTGTGTGTAATACGGTCACTATTTTGGTGGTGGTGAATATTTGTTCATAATATC